AATTGGTGTTATAGATGGTTATGAGTCACCATGTGGGTGCTGGGAATTGGACCCTGGCCCTCTGGAAGAGCAGACAGTGCTCTTAATCACTGAACTATCTCTCCATCTCTGGGTCACATTTCTTTGTGAACTTCAAGTATGTATATAAATAAAATGTGCTCTTTTCTATTAATCTGTCATTTATGTTTCATTCAAGCCCTAAACATTAAACCTAAAAGAGTAGGTTTTTCCTTTCTCACAGTAGATAACCAAGAAAATGAAAATGTAGATTCACATGAAAATGTCTGGATACCCATGGCAGCATTATTCTCAACATATAAAAGTAGAAGAAACCATATGCTCATCCACTGATGAGTGGATGAACACAATGTGGTATATCTATACAATGGAATATGCTTTGGCAACAAAAGGAGTAATTCATGCTATGATGTGGATGAGCCTTGAAAACACTGTGATAAGTAAGACAGAAGCCATTTCATTTAATGCTGCATGTGATTCCATTCATTAAATGACCAAGACAGGCAAATGTATAGAGGCAGAAAGCAAGTTAGTGCTTGCCTAGGGCTAGGAAAGGGTGGGGGGATGCGGATTGACTTGACAGATACAGAGGTTCCTTTATGAAGTCATGAAAAATGTTCTGAAATTGATGGTAAATGGGTGTGCAACATCATGAGCATTCGAAAGCTACTTTTATACTTTAAATAGTGTGTGTGTGTGTGTGTGTGTGTGTGTTGGGGGAGTGCTCAGATCTCCATATTTTTTTTTTTTTTTAATGAACAAGACAGAAAAGGGTCACTCAACTTTGGGCACAGTCATTGCAAACACTTGCTCTTAGAGTCCTGGGTCCCATTAGAAATCTGCCTTCCCTAAAGCCACCAGGGTGCACAGAGAGGCCACACTGTGTCTGAGTCACCACAAGCCAAGACTGTGAGCCCCTGGTCCTTTAAATCATCCCTGGTCTCTCAAGTCTTTTCCAAAGATGTCCCAACCAAGGCAATCTGCGCCACACTATGTCTAATCCCTGCCACAGACCCCGTGAGCATGATACAGTGATGGTCTTCGGACACTGTTCAGTCTGGATGGTTAAGCACTAATAGGTAACCATAGACCCTCCCACACTGTCCTCTCTCCACTTTCTCAATCTAGTGGCTCCTCCTTAATCTCCCTGAACATTAGGGTAAACAAAACCCCAATCCCCAGGTCAGTCTTTTCCTATGTTCCCTCTCTGAAGCTGTATAGCTTCAAACAACATTTTCTGTCATCAGGTGGACCACCCCTCTGCACTCTATATAGTACTAAGTATATTTACCTATTTAATCTGATATCTCCACTTAGATTTCCAACTGGCATCTAAGACTGAACAGAATCAGCATTCTGTCCCCCCAAACCTGCTTTTTCCAGTTGTCTCTCTCCACCTCAGTCATCATAGTCACCACTATGGCCTCTTACCTACATTATCCCATGGCTCTGAACCACCCTTAGGTACCTCCTGAGAGGCCCAAAGAGACCTCCTTCAACTGTAAGCTTGACATTTGACCCCCACCTTCACCCTCCTCCTCTGTCTATCCACACATGTCCATCTTCATCTTCTCTACAGCACTGTCTCCATCTGGTGCACTCAGCCTCTTCTGACTAGCCTCTCGCTACTAGAGCATAGGCTACGAAGGCAGGACTTTCATCTCCTATACTCATTGCTTATATCCACACAAGGCAGACTATCTCCCACACTTCAGGAGCAAGCACAGATGAGCTCAAGAGTTAATGAATGATGAGATTACTCAGGGGTCTAGGAGAGAGAGGCCGTACTGACAAAGATTACAGATGAAAGCAGCATAGAAAGACAGAGACATGGTCACTCGGAATGTTGTGTTCAGGACCTAGAAAATGGATTTAGGATGCTGTTGAGAGAAGGGCAGGGCTCAACCTGAGATACTGTGAGTGCAGGAGGCTGACATTTCCTCCCACCTTACCTAAACCAGCTTCAAGGGCCACAAGCTTCAACAAAGCTCTTCCTTCTCAATCTAATAGAAAGATACCAAGAAAACTGGCCACCCCCACGGGGAGACTCCAAAGGCTTGTGTGCAGACAGCTAAGTTCCTTTCTTAGAGTTTCTTTAGACATCTGGACTCTCAACAGGCACCAGATTGAAAGCAATGGAGTCACTGAAGGAGGAAGTGGCTATCATCCGTCACGTTGCTTACATATAGCCCTAGGTTGGGGTTTTTACTGAATCTCAGGACCAAATGTTTTCTAATAATGTGCTCAAACCAAATGCTTCCACACAGATGTTTTCACACAGTGTCATTGTTCATGGAGAATTCTGACAGAAGCCTCTAGGAGTCTGTAAATATACTTAATGCCATTGAATTTTACATTTAAAATGCTTAAAATAGTAAACTTTATGTGATATATATTTTACTACAATGAAGTTAGGAAAAATAGAGTAATAATACAAGGTTACCACCCACAATTCTCTTTATGAGTTCTCTTGATAACAAAAGGGAAGTTGAAAACATTGCACACAGCCAGACGGTGGTGGTGCACGCCTTTATTCCCAGCACTCAGGAGGCAGAGGCAGGAGGATCTCTGTGAGTTCGAGACCAGCCTGGTCTACAAGAGCTAGTTTCAGGACAGCCTCCAAAGCCACAGAGAAACCCTGTCTCAAAAAACAAAAAATAAAAACAACAAAAATAAATAAATAAAACATTGCATGCACACAGAACATGCATGGAATGTATCTCTTCCAGTCAACACCCTCACTGAACAGCACAGCAGTGCAGAGCGCCCAGTTTGCACTCACCACTGTGTGGCTGGGAGCTGTCCTTGCAGATGCTGTGCACAGCCATAGGTCAGGTTGTGAGTCCCTACCCCAGGGATATAGACAACCTAACATTTGAAGTAAGGCTTCTGTTGAATGTTTATCACTTTTGCTAAAAAGTCAAAATTTCCTAAGCAGCAGCATTATAAAAAGTTGTAAATGGATATCACGGTGCACACCTTTAATCCCAGCACTCCATAGGCAAAAGCAGGTGGATCTTATGAGTTTGAGGCCAGCCTAGTTTACAAAGTGAGTTTTAGGCTAGCCTGGACTACATAGAAAGACCCTGTCTGAAAAAAAAAAAAAAAGGAAAAAGAAAAAGAAAAAAAGTAGTAGTATGGACCATCTATACTGCTTTGCTTGATTACCTCACTAAGTTCTTCACACTAATTATCACTTTGGGCAGGAGAAAATGATTACTTTAGCTGCAGCAAGGGAAACCAAGGCAATGTATCTTTAAAAATCATTTAAAAAAAATAAACAGAAAATGGGTATCAAAATGTAAAATATGATTTAGCCTTCAAAAAGACAGAAGAGTGCAATATAAACCGCAAGGACAAACCTCAAAAACACTAAGTAATTCTACTTACATGGTTAGAATAATTCCACAGCTGTTACAGTGAACAGTGGCTACCAGAGGCCGAGGGGAAGTGGGGCTGGAGTTTAGTAGATACAGTAGTACAACTCCGTTCTGGAAATGGACAGTGGCGATAGTTACACAACAGTATAAATATACTTAATGTCACTGATTGGATGTTTAAAAAATGTTTAAAATAGTAAATTCTAGTAAATATATTTTACTTCAAAAAAGTATGAAAAATAGGATAGCATTACTAATAGAATTGGGGTTACTACAACTGTACCTCCACAGGAAGCAATCATGAGGACAATTTGGGTACAAAGACACATAAAGAACATTAGGCGAGGAGGGAGGCTGTCTTGAGTCTCTTCCACTTGACAGGGTGGAACAAGCATTCAGGAATCACAACTTCACTACTGGCTGCAGCACAGACTGTACTGTAGACAAGCCTGCTCCACAGACAGATTCAGAGCCTCTGCTAGGTGTGGGAATTGCTTCTAGCCAACCATCCATGTTCCCTTTGGGTGCACAATATTGAGCCTGCTCCACTGCAGCCCAGACCCAGAAGGTCCAGTGGCTTTTGTTTGTTTTGAGACAGGATATCACATCATATCTCTCTCTGGGAGGCCTAGAACTCATGTAGGCCAGGATGAACAGGAGTTCACAGAGATCCACCTGCCTCTGTTTCCCAAGTGCTGGGATTAAAGGTATAAACTACCATGCCTGATTCTAGAAGATATTCATTACATAGCTAGCTGTTGAATGTAGAGAAAAGTTTAAATTGTTTATAAAATGAAGAACAGATTTTTCTCGCAAGAACAGATTTTCTTGGAAGGAAATGATATTTAAAAGCAATGACGCATGATGGAGAGATGGCTCAGAGGTTAAGAGCACTGGCTGCTCTTCCAGAGGTCCTGAGTTCAATTCCCAGCAATCACATGGTGGCTCACAATCATTACAACAGAATCTGATGCCATCTTCTGGCAAGCATGCAAACAAAGCACTCACACCTAAAAAAAAATACAGTTCAATAAATTTTAATCCCAGCACTCTGGAGGCAGAGATAGGCGGATCTCTGTGAGTTTGAGACTAGCCTGGTTTATCTACAGAACAAGTTCCAGGAGAGCCAGGATTGCACAGAGAAACCCTGTCTTGGATAGATAGATAGACAGACAGACACACAGACAGACAGTCAGTGGCACAAAGATAAGGCATGGGTCTTCACACAAAGGTTACAGACCCCTGGGGGTCACTTGGTGTGTGACCCACTTTCCTAGGAAGCTCCAATTTCCCTTTCTTAGTCACCTTGGAAAGAATGTCCAAGGTGTGGCGTGGGAGGTGGGGGAGGCATCGAGTTCAACACTTACAAGTTGCAATGAGGGATCTGGGATACTAGGTTTATTTGAGCTAGACAATGGTAGGAAATGACAAAAAGGTTATTTGTTCCTTTTTTGCTTTTCTTTCTAGCTCTGTCCCTCCAGAACCCCACTTCTGGGTAGATTTGCTGCAAAGGAGAAAATGTGAAGCAAGGCAGGGAGAGCCCCCCAGCCCTTCCCGGGCACAGCACATCCTGCTAATCTAATCACATCTGACAACAGAGTCCACAATTTAATTATCCATGAGATTTTATTAACCAGGTGTTATGTATCTGCCTCTTATAGGTGAGAGTCATATAATCTATGACACATGGGAACAATCAGAACTGTGCCTTATGTTTATGGCTTCAAAATCTATATGGAAAAGTTAAGACACGTGTTTATGTAACTCTGATAAGGAAACTTTGAAACCAAATGAATATTTATAAAAACTCATTTCAGAGACAGTGGAAGGTAAAAAGCCCCTTCCAATAACTTTGTAAACTGGGGGACATATAATTACTTTAAGTAGGATTCAAGGAAAAGCAGTCATTCACCCTGAAACTTGCATCGCCTGGAATGTCAAGTGGATGGATTTTCAGAGTGACTTTCTCATCCACATTATATGAAATCTTCTATCTGGCAAAAGCCAGATGTTTACATTCTTCTCAAGAGTGAGTTGCGTTTTAGGTATCAACAAAGACTGTACTCCAGGGCTCGCCATGCCGAGCAGGAAGAACTTTTCATCATCCACGTTGTTTAAGTATGAAGTGAAAATAGAATTCTCTCTGAGAGTCACGACTGTAAGTTCGGTGTTACAACTGATCCTAAGGGCACAGGTTCCACGCCTTGTGTAGAACTATCTCGGACTGTGATGTCTTCAGGAGGTTTCCAGCATGTCCTTGTCTGGCTCTTTCTGACCGCAAAGTGCAAAAGATTCCTGCACAAACTGCCGGCACATGGGACACTGTTTGAAGTAGCACACACAGCTGTCACACAGGCAGGCATGCCGGCAAGGCAGGAGCACCCAGTTCACGCCCCCGTTCTGGCACACCACGCAGTCCTTGCTGCTCTCCTCCACTGGCTCCACTTCACTCCCAGCCAGGCCTGCCTTCTCCAGTAAGCTCTGCTCGGCATTTCTGTCTGCTGGAGAGGGCTTGCTGGAGGGACTGGGACTACTGTTTGCAGACATGAAAAGTTGCTGAAAATCAAAGAAACCAGTGTAAAGGCAATTGTGAACAACAGTTACTCTCTGAACCTGGGGGTCACAAATGCTACTGAAAATTTTTTTTTTTATTGTGTGGTACATTTTGTGTGATATGGCAATATAACACATAGTGGATAGGATCATCTCAGGATACTAAATGAAAGAAAAAGTAATGTGTGATAGAATAGAGAATGAAGCCAGGCAGGGCAGGGCATGTCTATGATCCCTGCCCCCAGAAAGCTGAGAAAGGACTCTGGAGTTTGAGGCTCTCCCCTGTGAAAACGAATAAATGAATAAAATAAAAAGAGAGAATATTATCTCATTTTATTTCCTTTATGGGGAGTGTGTGTGTGTGTGTGTGTGTGTGTTTATGAGCGTTGTGAATGTGTTCATGCAACACGAGCATGCAAAGTATGATGTTAATTATGATCTTCTCTAGTGACTTGGGCTGTGGGTGATGTTTTCAAATTTTCTGTTCTTCAGTAATGACATATGGAAAGTTTTTTGTTTGTTTGTTTTAGTTTTGGTTGTTTGGTTTTCTTTTTTTTTTGAGCTAGCAAATCCAACAGGCAAGAGTAATTAACTTCTATAGCTAACAAAAAAACCATAGTTTTCTTTAAAAACAGCCATTCCTTGAACTCTAAAAACAACAATTATTACATGGTATGACTTACCTTAAGATCATAAAATTGGCCTTGAGCCAGGAGTAAATATTGATACAATATTCTACAGGGCAGTTTGTAAGTCTTATCAGGAATATGAATTACTGACACCATGGAGATCTAAAAGAAAAATTGGACATGAGTCAGTACTTAAAACTACTCTTTCACAGAGAATTGAAAAAATGATTCTCAAATAAGAGATATATTAAAACACTTATATTAATTTGTATAAATCACAGCACTAAAAGGAACTAGTTATTTACAGATTTTCTTTTTCTTTTCTTCTTCTTCCTTTTTTTTTTTTTTGGTTTTTCAAGACAGTTTCTTTGTATTGTTTTGGAGCCTGTCCTGGAACTCTCTCTCTGTAAACCAGGCTGGCCTCGGACTCACAGAGATCCACCTGCTTCTGCCTCCTGAGGGCTGGGATTAAAGATGTGTGCCACCAACACACGGCCTTACTTACAGAATTTTGACACATTTTAATTGTACTGAAATTTACAGATTCATTGTGGCCCCAATAAAAATATCAATGTGCTTCACTACAAGCTATGTATACAGAGTCTAAAATACTTACATAGAAAAAGGAACATGTAAGAATAGGTAGGAAAGCATTCAACAGCACAGAGCAGCCTAATCCCATTAAATATTAAATTGTATTGCACGGACTCATAAGTAGATGAATGAATGAGACAGAAGAAACAGCCCAGAAAAAAATAAAAACAACAAAACCGTTATGTGCAAAAATAGAATGAGGGTGCCATCAGGAAGCACAGGGTTTTTTTTTTTTTTTTCTTTTCTTTAAATAAATAGTTTGAGGACAACTGGATAACCATCCAGAAACACATGTAACTGGGCAACTGCTTTGTACAGCACAACTGGAACACCAGTGCTGGGGGAGAGCAGACACAGGCAGATCCCTGGAGCTCATTGCTAGTCTAGACAAATGGTGAGCTCTTTGTTCAGGGAAACACCCAACCTCAAAAAAATTGGGTGGAGAGCAACTGAGGAAGGCACCTGAAGCTGATCTCTGGCCTCCACAAGGCACACCCACATACATGCACACACAACAGGAACACCTCATACAAGTGGAGAGTGACTGCAGCAGCGACTCTGTGCTGACCCCTGGCCCTCACACACACACATTACAAGGTGAACAAACAAAAACAAATGTCATTGTTTCTCACACACTGGATTGACACATGTACAAAAAGCTTGCACCTGGTGGAAAAACTCTCCATGAGAGAAAGAGGAGGGGGTGGGGAGAATTTGGTTAAGGGAATTGGCACTATCTAACAAAAAAGTATGCATTTACACTTCAACTACAGCACAGTGTAAACCACACTTGCACAGGGTATTCAGGACAAGACAGTTACACTGGGAACTCCCCTACCATCCAAGCACAGGAAACAAAGTAACTATGGTACACACACACACACACACACACACACACACACACACACACCCACACACACACACAACCACATATAATGGAGTGTGATGCCAGCCAGAATCCCCAACACTACCAACTGCTGGAATCCTAAAAACTCAAAGCCTCTAAAGTCTAAAGCTCCCAAAGATGGAAACCTACAAATTACAAACCCAAAAGCTTAAAAAACCTGAATGCTAAAATCCTGGAAACCATAATTTCCAGCAGTGGGTGAACGGGCTAATGAGGGGAGTGGAGAGCCAAATGTTTGAGATGGGTTAGTGTGCCCTCACTGGTGTATAGTACAGCTGCCAAGCCATTTAAAATATCATGTCTTCACGCCATCCTAGAGTCCTCATCCAGTGGCTGATGGAAAGGGAGTCAGACATCCACAGAAATACACTGAACTGAACTCTGGAACTTAGTTGCAGAGAGGGAGGAATGAAGATTGAAGGAGTCTGTACCAGGTTGGAGAAACCCACAGAAACAACTGGCCTGAACAAGGGGGAGCACATAGATCCCAGATGCTGTCTGGGAGGCCAGTACAGGACTGATCCAGACCCCTGAACATGGATGTCAATGAGGAGGCCTCTGCACTCCAGGGGGCCCCTGATAGTGGATTAGTATTTTTCCCTGGTATAAGAAGGGACTTTGAGAGCCCATCCCACGTGAAGGGTTACACTCTGACCCTGGACACATCGGGAAGGGCCTAGGCCCAGCCCAGGATGATGTGGTGGACTTTGTGGAGCCCCCGTGGAGGGCCCTACCCTGCCTGGGGAGTGGAGGGTGGATGGGGTGGGGGTAGGTCGGGGTGGGGTAGGAGGGGTGAGGGTGAGGGGAAGGAGAGGGAGAAGGGATTGACATGTGAAACAAGCTTGTTCCTAATTTGAACTAAAAAAAAAAAATTAAAAAAAATATCACGTCTTCATCTTGCCCGTCATACACAGTACTAGGCCTCCCTCCAAGTAATAAAGAACAGCTTCGGGATCTTCTGAACTAAGGATAGTTGCTCACAGGGGGATACCTCCTTCGTCACAAAACAGTAGATGGTGAACTAGTTTTAGCCAGAAATTTGAAAGTCAAATTTACCACAAAGTTGAGCACAGGAAACTAATGAGTGCCTCACTTTGATTAACAATGGCACCATCAAAGTGGTCTCCAGCGTTCTGTCTGATTTATCAATATATGCCATTCATGCTCCTGGAAGCACCAGAAATTTTAGAAATGTATCCATTTATGTATTATTGGCTGGAAAAAGCAGTGTTTTATAAATGCTTATCAGAAGATGTGGTGGCCTTCACAAAAATAAAATGGGATTCAATTGAATTGCCATGTAATAATGACACGTGGGACTGGATATGCTCAAGCTTCTGAAAGTAAATTGCCAAGTGTTACCAATAAAATGTTTTATTTTCCACTCAACCAGTACATTTGGTGGCAAATCATCAAGTGCATTTGCTGACTACACAGAAAGGATGCAAATTTCAGGTTGGCAGCATCACTGTCTGCTGGGCACTCCTTCTTCCTTGTTCCAGGAACCTTCAATGAATCAAAGCCACATTTGCCAAGCCAGGGAAGTGATGAACTAGTCTGAAAACAGTTACAAGCACAGCAGGAGGACACAAGCAACAGTGCCGCTGCCTCATGACCAGTTCTATTTCACTAACTGTGTCATAGGCTTAAGATCTGTATACCCAGAGCTCCATAAAAGCACAGCATGGAAGATGGGACTGTATAATGATAATGCTTATGATGTATATTAAATCACAGAATTTCAAAATGAGAAGTGACACATAGAACGTGAGCATATTCTCTGAGGATGGCTAGGACACAGGAGTTCAAAACACAGTTAACTGGGACTGGAGAGATGGCTCAGTGGTCAGGAGGCCTTACTGTACGATCATGAACACTGAGGTTTTCCATCCTAGCCATGCTGGAGGCTCACAACTGCTTTTAACTCTAGTTCCAAAGGGAGTTAACTCCTTCTACTGACTGAAAGTCACTGACACACTCACAGATACAGGCACACATAAACAAAATAAATATTAAAAAAAAACCAGTTAAGATGGTGGCAGTTGTGAGCTTTTATAGACTGTCTTCATACAGTTCCCCATGTCTCAGCCTCATGATGCTGTCTCTATACTAAATTTTTGCTGCTTTTAAGTTTTTTCTTCCTGCTTTTTAAAAATTGCCAACAATATTAATTTGAAATTAGGCATGCTGCATATTTAAATTCTGTATCACTTCCAATAACAGAGGTATCAATTACATAAAGAATTTTAAGAGTATTAAGTTGTTTTACACCTTTGAGAGAGAGAGAGAGAGAGAGAGAGAGAGAGAGAGAGAGAGAGAGAGAGAGAGAGAGAGAATGTGTATACAATTGAGGAAAGACACCTGATGCTGACCTGTGGTGTGTTGTGTACATTTACAAACGCGCGCGCGCGCGCGCGCGCGCGCACACACACACACACACACACACACACACACACACACACACGTGCTCGAGCATATAAAACAAATAAGAACACTGAAACATCCTCACTAAATGAAGAGGGGTCCTTCCTGTACACCTACTAGTAAAAGAAGACATTTCCTGATTTCAGTTCCAGTCAGTTGTAGTGCTTCATCCTGGTCACGGCTTTTGATCAATCTCAAAGGACTGAGGTATGTCTTAGTATTTCTATGGTCAGTTATAAAGCTGGTTTTACTATCCAGTGGCATATGCTTAGAAATTCTGCTTTTTGGCTTATCTTTTGTGAACATGGTTTGTCTGCTCATAACTGCAAGGCTTGTATGACATCACTGGCACACTTGTAAAATGTCTACTTTGTTTTGTAAAGTAACCTATCAAGTATCCTAGCATGCTTTTATATCTCTCAAATAAATTCCCTTTGTTATTATTATTATCATTATTATTATTATTATTATTATTATTATCATGTATGGGGGCATGCTGTGCTTTCAGGGAACAACATTGTGGGGTCTGTCATCTCCTTCCACCTCTACATGAACTCTAGTGATGGACAGGTCACCAGGCTTGTGTGGTAAAAGCCTTTACCCACTGAGCCATCTTGTAGGCCTTAAATTCCTTTAAAAAATGTAAATAAAGGTCTTTTAACTAAAGTTTTAGAATCATTTTTCCAAGAATTATATTTTGTGATTTTTGACTTCCAGGATTGGAAGTCAATGGATTGCAACTTTGATTCAAGCCAAATGAAATGCTCTATAGCTATTTAAAAACAAACAACACAAACACATGAAGACAATCTGTGAACCTATCTGTAAGTGGTTTCTCTGTGAGATTATAACATGAACAAAGCAGAGTACAGAGAGGGTTCTCAGCACTGCAGTGTCCTGCCTTCATGTAAGAGAAAGGAGTAAGACACAGCAAACAATGGACAGGATCTCCCACAAGCATTGGGCCTGTGGGAGAGATGTAAAGGAATGTAGAAGAGACATGGCAATCTCTTGTGCAGCTTTCCTCATCTTGAGAGAATGAATCAGTGTAATTTATAAGCACAGGCTGACTATAAATGCTCAGCATGGGTAGGAAGCAGTGAGATTCGATTTGAGTGCCAAGATAGTTAAATTCAAATCTGATATAAAGAAAAGGGAATCCATAAGGTCACTGGATACAGATAATCAAATAAAAGACAAGGTTCTGGTTTGAAGGAGTATGCTGAGAACTGACTAC